ACTTAAATCCCATTCCGTTTTTCAAGTTATTTTTTGATTGCATGAACCGCAGTATGTCAGCTTTGCCCAATTTTCTTTAAAAATACAATACCTGTTCCGGGGGCATTCGGTATGATCTATCTTATAATCACAAAAACTTAATAGACGATAATCGCATCCGTTGAATTTCCTATTATTATTCTGTAGAATGTAAGACAAAACGATTGTCTTAATCATCATCTATTTCATTATCATTGTTGAATAAGCAATCCAGTATTAGTAATCATAGAATCATAGCAATGAACAATAAACAATGATAATGAAATAGATGGATAAAAAACGGAAAAATATGGAGAAGAAAAACAAAATTAAAATACGAATATTATAAGTTCATCAATTGTTAAAAGGAACACTACGGGAAAGGAATAAATCTTTCTTTGTTTTATGTATAAACGCATATATATATGTTTGTGTGTATATATCTGTTTGAACTTGTGTATCTTCTGTTTCAATTCAAGAATTTGCACATTACAGATTTCCGGATTTTAAGTAAAAGTACATTTCCGAGGGCATGCAGGCGCGGTTATGAGTTTTGGCCATTTCCGGTTGATGATGATGAGGATGAGCATGTGGATGACGATTCTCGCACTGTGTGATGAACGAATGAATGATGAAGGATAAAGATGAGGAGATTGAGTTCTATTCTCAATTGATTAGTAAAGTGAATTATGTTGATTGGGTAAATATATATATCAATGATTAAATATTGAAAAAAGTGGTCTGATTATTTGATTTAATCAATGACGATGTATTCTCTTGTTTAATTGAGGAATAGATTGCAATTTTCTATTTGCGAAAATACAATTACTGATTCCTTCATTTCCATTGGTAATATTTCACAAATAATTTTTTTTTGTTAAAAACAACGAAATAGAATGAACTTGAAATATTGTAAACATATAATAGAACCATTTTATCTGACTATTGGTCATATTACTAATTTAACATGTAACCAACTAATGAAAGGGTAATAACGTCAACCAGAATCATAATAAAAATGACTTTGCTCACGTATATTTATAACTTATTTTTTTATTTTCCAATTTTCCCTGGTCTATCGTCTTTCAATTTTCAAGTCCAACAAACATATGTCTCCTCATCAGTTCTTTAAATCTTAATTTTAATTAATAAAACAAAGCCAAAAAATTTTATCTTACTCCTGATTGTTTAGATTGTCAGGTCAACAATCAATAACATTATCAAGATATTTGTTGATGGATTAACAAACTCCATCATTTCCCACCCCTCCTTCAATTACTCCTCCTCCTCCTTTTTCTTTACCTTTGCATTGCACATGATTGTTTATTCAAACTTTAATAATGATAACATATCTCTAATAATTGAATATTGTCGTATTTTATTCGACTAAAATGACAAAATGTATTATATATAATTTTGTAGACACGGTTATTTCTAGATCAAAAACTGTATCGACAATTGTTTATAATAACCGATGTCGAATTTGAATTTCTTTTTCCTTCTATATCTCTACTACTATTTACAAAAATTATATTAATATATAGTTTTATAAAATATCATCGGTTATTTTATATATCTCAAATTATCAAAATTGTTATTTATTTTGTGTGGAAGGTTGTGCAGTGGGATTCTTTAATATTTTTTTTTTTTTGGTCCCTCATTTTGCACCCAAATTATACCCCACAAAGTAATAAATGACAATATTGAAAAGTCGACTTAAATTATAGTAATATAAGTAAATATGAAGAAGTCCGAAATATCATATTTAAAATTTGGTAATAATTGTATTAATTCCATTTTCAATTAATTAACAACATACTTTTTTGACAAGCTATGAGTAACAAAATAAAAAATTTCCAACAATAAAGAAAGAATAAAGTTTAGGGTTATATAATTGATACATAACGCAAACAAAAAGTGAGAATAAAACTAACAATAAAGACAAAACCAAGATTATTTAATTATCAATTGCCATAATTATATATATAAATTAAAGTATGGTCAGTTATTGTGTAGTGTTTTCTTATAACAAATGTACTAAAACAGAGGTGTCAGATCCAGGAGAGATCAATTAAGTATTATCTATTTAAAATTATGTTTTAGTTTAGAATCTAGATTCTTTAGAGAAAGTAGAGAATGATATTTCAAATGTTGTAATATCGACATTTTGAATTACACAACCAATACGAAATAGATAACTTTCTACTGTGTGAGGAAGTATTGAACATTTGTGATTATTTCTATTAGTCCAATGAATATTACAATAATTTATATACCTACATTGATAGTTCTGTTCATGAGGACACGCAATATAATTTTATACTTCATATGAGTATAAGTGTCTGTGTATATGAATATGTGTGTCTTGATGAATGTCGCAGTCATTAGATTAGAGTGTGTGCGCGTGCCAGGGCGTGTCCCCGTGCACAATCACAAAACAATAAATAAAAGAAAAATGTTGGAAAATTAGTTAGGGGGTGTTGAATTGAAAGAGAAGCGAAAAAGGGAATCTTTCACTGTGGTTGGTTGGAATGGGCTGAGCTGAGCTGAACTAGACCGGGTTAGGCTGGACATCATTTTGGTTTTAGTTTTGGTTTTAATTTTGCCTTTGGTTTTCGTTTTCGTTTTGGTTTTAGTTTTGGTTGGCGGATAGAACATTAACACCCCAGCACTAACCATCGATTTATTATTATTATTTTTTTTGGGGGGAGACTTCGGTTAAATCTGATAAACATTGATCTGCCTTGTATTATAACTAAAAATATTATCATGAAGACAAATACAATTGGACCAGTTTTATTATTATTATGATTCAACTTCTCTATGAATTATATAATGAAGTATTATTATATCTCGTTCTTTATTATTAGGACCCCTCTGCCCCCATTCCCCCCCAATTATTATCAATTGTTGCTGTTGCTGCTTTTTTTTTTTGCAATAAAAAAGGGGGTGTGTAAGTGAACAAAAAAAAAGCTATCCACACTTAACCATCTTTATTTCATAAGTTTCTGAAGATATATACATATTTGAACAATCTACACAGTTATGCCCTAACACTGATTTGTATAATTTATAATCATGTAGTACAAATACAAGACGGTTAACCTTTTTTTGTTGTGTCTGGTTCTGTAAAAGAAAAAATTATCCTGCCATACGAATTCAGCCGATGTAATTCGTCATCGTCGTTGGGGGGACGATTTACAAAATAAAAATTTTCATCCATTACTTCAACTGCCACCCCTTGTTTATTTATTATCAATTTAAGGTTTGTATTTAGATTTGATCCCTAAAAGATTGGTTTTGCTTGTTATTTCGTTCAGAGAGAGGAAATGAATTGTGAAATGTATAGTTAAAAGAAGAGTATATGTAAGATAGAAAGACACACACACGGAGAATAAGAGATCTACAATAGTATTTATTTTAATTTGTGATTAACAGGTACTAATTGGGATTGGGCTCACATCACTGGTCAATGTAAGTCCATTAGATTGAATTTCAAATATAAATGTATAAAGAAAAAAATTTCACTTGTATATAATTTTTTTTTTTTTTTTTGTTTCGTTTCTTATTCATCTTCATCTTCCCTTTTTCTTCTTTCATTCATTGACAATTATTCAAAGTAATTTTGGTCTTTTTAGATTTAAAGTATTAAGGTATTTTATCCCAATTATCAACCAACTTTAACAATTGAATTCAAAATCTTGAAAGAAACAGGAAAAAAGAATTATTATAATTGTTTTTGTTTTTTTATTATATTTTCAAATTCAATAAAACTAAAAGGAATACGATTATTAATTATAATAATAATAAAAAAGGGAAAATTATTCTAAGTTTCAAGAGAGGATAGATTCCATTTAATAGGATATTCTTCTTTTTTTTTATCATTCTATTCCCAATTGTTGTGTCTGTTTGTTATTTATTATTAATAACAAACCAAATTTGATATTTGCAAAGGGAAGAAAAAGTGCCAAACTATATATAAAAAAATAAACCCAATTTATAATTATACCTACAGAGAGAGAGAGAGAGAGAGAGAGAGAGAGAGACCAATAATTGATTAATTGTTTCTATAATTTTTATTGTTGGAAATTTTTCAATTCGTATAAATATAAAAAGGGGGAAGAATTTTATTCAAAGTTGGATAAATTTTTCAGTTTTGTTGAATGATTTTATATTATCAGTTTTCTTTTTATTGTCCAATATATATATTCTTTTGAAAAGATCATTAGACATTGATTTAAAATTAATCCAAGAGTGAAATTTTAGTATTTGCAATAGCATCAATAATTGACAGTGACATTTGTCATTACTTAGATCTATCCACTACAGATTTGAGTCCAATTAAATTTAGATATCTCAATTAGCTTAGCCCTTACTACTACTACTACTACTACTACACCACTACTACTTGTGGGTTTTTCTTTAGGAGTGTATCAGTGAAAGAACTTCATTCGTTGCTTACTTTTGGAATAAGCAATTACGCTTACGTCATCTAAATTTAGTTCATACTTTTTTTTTCCTTACAGTTTTGTTCAGTTGTACCACAACACAAAAATTTAATCAATTTTTGCAAAGGAAAGGAAATTTGTTTTATAAAAAATTAATTTTTAAAATACAAGTTCAATTTGGAATCTCCCATTTTAGATATACAACCATCATCGTTTATCAATCAAGAATCAGGAAAGCCTAGGATTAGAAAGTTCTCATTATATCCTATCCCCCTTCAATTGAGTCACCATCTTTTATTGTACTACTTCTGCTACAGCCACTTCTACCACTAGTACTACCACCAACAGCAACAACAAGGACAAGGGTAACCAAAAAAATACTAGAAATCATAGGGCAAAAACGGCTTTATCTTAATTCTACTTCCTTTCCTTATTACTACCCCAACAATTATTGTCATTCAATTATCATTCATTCCGTCATATGGAACAAAGTATCATATCAAGGGTTTATACAAAAAGAAATAAGAACCAAAGATGAAACCTACAAAGAAACAAAATAATTTAAATTTAAGACGACAGAAAAGTAAATCAACATTTAATAAAGACGCAACTCCTTTCTCACCAGCAGTATCTTCTCAATCATCTTCGGTGAGAAACAATCAACATTCAGACCCATCTGATTTGACTTATAATACACCTAAGCCAACACAACAAAATAATTTTACCCCCAACCCAATTATACGGAAATCTACAACAGCGGCATCTCCAACAGATTCCAATGCGAAACCTGTTCCTTATATCATCATAGTCACCAACATTCCAATTCAGTCCACCAAAGATGATTTTATCCAACTAATCAATTCTCGCATATCTACCACCGATGATTCATATACTATAGACCAATTTGTTGCCGAGCATGATAACACCATTACCGCAATCCTAAAAGTTCCCGATTTGGAAACATGCAACAATATGATATCTGCTCTAAATAATACTCACTGGGAAGGCAAAACTTTAAAATTAACTTTAAATATAGATCAGAATGACCAACTTTTGTCTACCAATAAACATTATATCAATAATGATCCATCTTCAACATATAGTTTTGGCCAACCATCTTCATCTTCATCTTTATCATCTTTATCAGAAAGTTATTGGAAACCACCACTATCAAGAAATACTTCTGCATCTTCAACCCCATCAGCATTGTCCCTTTCCCGCAGAACATCATCATTGGACTCCAGAAGATTCGATTCACGTTCAACAAGTAAAAGTTCCATATCATCGTTGGGTTTATCATCAAAACGAAGCTCTCAAAGCTCATCAATAAGCAGTGATCCACAATCAAACAAAAAACCAGTACCTACATTCATCATGAATATGATCCAAGATAATGAAAAACTTACACCTGATCGAAATCACTCAATAGAAGAAGATGTACCAGAGGAGAATGAAAATGATGTACACGAGCATCAGAATCATCATCGTCAACAACAACAACAACAACAACAACAACAACAACAAGACCAAGAAGATAATGATGAGAACAACGATGATGGTATTGATGGTAATGAAAATCCACAGCTGATGGATGATGGTGGTGATGATGAATTTATTTGGGTACATGCAACAGATGACGTCACCGATACCACTAATTTTCCAAAAGGTGAGAATTCTGATAATCTTATAAAAGTCAATGCAAGGAGGTTATTTGTTGGTAATGTTCCTTATAGTTCAAACTGGACTTCATTAAAGAATTTCTTAATCAACAAATCCAATGAATTAGAACCAGATACCAATATTTCCATTTTACGAGTCGAAATACCTGTGCACCAGGTTCCTCGAAGTGAGCCATACTATATGTTCCCAATAGGTCGAGGCTTAGCATCTGTAACAAAAAGTAAAGGGTTTGCCATTGTGACTACTGGTGATAGACATTCGTCGGAAAAATTAATTGAACTTCTCAACAATGTTGAATTTGAAGGAAGATCATTAACTGTGAGGTATGACAAGTATCCTGAATACAACAACTATGTGATGCAACAAATGCACGCACATTCAAGTGGTAATTATCATAATTTGTCTCAACGAAATAATCTTCATTATCATGATGGAATATCGTTACCACCAAATTTACCATATCTTCCACAATACCCCACTTCACCGTCAGCTAATAAACATCAGAATCAGCAAAACATGGCATCATCATTGCAACCAGTTTTGAATTATTCTCCTAGTCCAGCTTTGCTTAGTTCACTTGTATTTGAAAGGAATCTGTACCAACGTAATTTTTATTATGCATCAGCTGCAGCACGTGGAGCTGGAGGAAACACCGTGGGATCTAATCAAAATCAAGGTTCAAACCAGAGTGAAGGTCAAAATCAACCATCTAATCTGAATCTGAACCAAAGTCAACGAGCACATCCAATTTCTGAATCTAACGTCCCAAATGCATTAACACCAGGAATAAACCAGTTCATTTCACCACCTGCTACTGGTAGTTATTTCCAATTTTCCCCACAACAGCAAGGACATCAACATCAATCAGTTCCACAACTGAACCAACTACAAGGTCAGCACGCTGGAAGTTTAAGATCACTTCAATTTATTCCGCCACCGATGGCACCACCACCCCCACACCCTTCACATGTACATCAACTTCTGCAAAATCCTGGCACTGAATCACCAAATGCTCAAGCATTTATGTATTGGCCTCCTCCATATTATAACTCAACACCGATTTATGCCATACCTCCACCATTCCATCAATATCAGTATACAGGATCACCACATCATTACCAACAACAGTTCCCCCAACAAATGAATCATCAAGGACAATACAATTCACGACCACAATCTCAACCTGTACAACAACAAGAACAACGACAAAGTCAAGTTTCTAAAGACTCCACACCAACACCATCGCGAATTATTAGAGATGTAACACTGAAGGAGGAAACACCATTACAAGAACAAACAAATACAACAGAAGTTACCATGAGTGAAGAAGAAAAGGCTAGAGATTTGATCAATTCTATAAAAGACTTATCAATAGACAAATAAGTAGAATTGTATAATAAACAAGATCATTAGAAGTATACAAATAATATAAATTAAAATACCAGAAGAACCACAACACGTGAGTGTAATATTTCATTTTGAATTAGTACAACATGTTTTAGAAAGATAAGAGACCCAAAATCGAATCATCGTCATGAAGTTGACGAAGTTGACGTTGTCTATTACATCTGAATGTATCTTTTTAAATACCAAATCATACAATTTGCCACAAATATGTACTAATGCTATTCTAATTCATACGAAATATTACTTCGTCTCCATTTATTTATTTCTTTCGTTGGTATCCGAGATAAGCGAAAACTATTCTATCAAAAGTGCTTCTATTCTTATTCTATACATCAACAAACCCAAAGAACAAAAAATGAAAATGTTTAGTTTAGTTTATACTTTTTGTACCTTGATAATGTAAAAGCGGCTTTAATATTGTTCTCAACTATAAAGTACACAAACCAACAATAAGTTGATTATACAATAAGTAAACAGAGTTAAATACAAAATGAACTAATAGGTTGGTTATGATATATTCAAATGGTTATATATATGTGAGTGTGTGTGTGTATGTATTGTTGTTTTTATTACAGTGACGAATAGATAATGTTATGAATTTTTCTAATACACAAGGATTATGGAATTTATGGGTCGGAAATGCAATTCGGGATTCGTTTTATTTTCCGAGATGAGATGCTGGTTTTGCAATTGTTGAAGAATATGATTTTATTCGGTTAAACTTAACGGTTTTCAATGTAAATTTTTCAATATTATTACACAATATGTAGATAATCTAAAACCAGGAACAACAACAGCAAGAACAAAAAAGAAGACAAAATGTTATAACTTACTTTTTGTTTTCTGTATGTTCCCAATGGTGTATTGGCATAAAGTATTGTTTAATGTAGTTTGGTTATGGAATTGAATAAAAAAAAAAGAGCAATCGTGTTTTAAAATGATCAGCCACAAAATTGACATTTATTTTGGGGGGAAGGATTATGGACGATGGGTTCATCGGATATTGATTTCCATCTCGGTATAGATCCCGGAATAGATGAATACTAGAATAAACTCCCAATATAAAAAATAATAACAATAATAAAGAATTATGATAGCAATGATATTATAATTGCTGCAATAAATTATGGAACTGCAAATATGAAATATCGGAAATAGTTCACACAGTGTGTACTTACACTTTATTACTATTATTACTATTATTATTATTATTATTATTATTATTATTATAAGACACATATTTTTGTGATACGGATATTTGACTTCAATCTTTATCTCTAGTCTTCTAAAAATAACCCAAGTGTGGATTTGGTTAGTCCAATACACTATCATCATCACTATTGTTTAGAATCTATTTTTGTGCCATTGATTGTCATCACTTAGAGCAACCGATAAGTCCCCTCAAGGTGTCAATGTTATCTTAGTAACAATTAAGCGTACAAAAATATTCAAACCAAGAATGGGCCTAACACTAAAGAGATGTAGAATCTATTTCTATGCTTTATCAAATGAGTAAGGCCTGTGCTACTATTATCAGCATTAACTAATATATTCTACATATAGAAGATACAAAACCTTTCAAGTGACAAAAAGCATCATTACTTGTTTCTAATATTATTTAACTCGGAAATTAAATTAAATAACTTTCAAATTTGTTATTTGGAATCTGTGGTTTAAATGTCTATATAGATGGGTTAGTCAACTTGCAAAAAAATAAATTAATAGAAATTCGAACCGAATCTCCCCGAAAACAATATCAATTGATCAACCCACAGTGAACAAGTATCATAGTATGGAATGTGATGTGATGTAACAGTACGCTATTATAACCATTCTTCTTCTTCTTCTTCAAAATGGGCAATAACTGGCAACAGATACCTAAAGTTAATAATAGACATACACATTGATTGACCTTGGAAAATAATCACAATAATTATTAACCCAAATTTCTATCTTGTTTTACAGTAATACATTAACAATACTTCGGGTTCATATCTATATTCTAATCATTCCGAGATGTTTAAGTTCCGAATCAATTATTGATTATCACTTTATCTTCGTCAATAAATTGCCATATTGTATCGTGTAAACACCACTCACGTGAAAGAAGGTCATGATATGTTAGGATATATGATATTATACATGGACATCGAATATACTGTGATAGTTATAAAAAGTTGTTTAAAAATGAAATGTAAATTATCTGGTAGAAATTGATTTGGTTGATAAGGGAAGTATTCATAGAATATTAGTATTGCTATGCCGATCAATAATAACACCAATATTTTTTTATTAGGGTCAAAATATATACAGAATAACATATGAAATGTAGTCATTATAATAATACCCCTTGTGAATGGATTACTCTTGATATTATAAACTGTTGCTGGATACTTCCTCAAGTCATACGTGGACAACATCTAAAAATGATTATTTTCCCAGACAAACATTCAATGAGAAAGTGCAAGCCATGGTCGATATTACATCATTGAAACTTCAATGTAATGGTGAGAACCATGTTTATAAGTAACCAGTGGTTGTTTTTATAGTATGTAAACAACAAAGTGTTGCCAAAATTTATTGAAAATTGGTTGCAAAGTTTCATGAAAAAAATCATAAATATAAATACAGGCGAAATTTTCCCTTGTTGAAATTAAAATCCTATTCAAAATTCTTCCTCCGTTTTGACTAAAAAGACATCAACTGCTAGAATGCTGTAACATTGGTGTTGAATACAATAACTGGTCCAATGAAACAAACACATTCAGTTAAATAACTTCTCGCAAAAAGAATGCCTATATTTCTAACTCCACATCAACTCCTCGGCTGCTTTTCACCACCAAACAAATTTGACTTTGGTTGCACGACCAATCAATGTAAATTGAATCACCGACAATTGACACTTTTTCTTACTACACACTTACTATCTTTCATTTGACACCATCTACAAAACCACCACCCACACTGTATTAAAAGTGTATCACTTAAGGTTATGCTATCCGATTACATAATCTGCATCCGTACGTTTTTGTCTGATTTTCCCCTTTTTCATCGTTATTCTTTTTTGCTTTGCCTTCATTTGAAAAGAGGAGAAAGAATCTAGCTCTCCACTATTTCAAAATTTGAAAATCAATAGCCATGGATAACCGATAAATACTTTTTCTTTTTATTGTATAAGTGTTTCAGTTATCCACCCCCACTTATGACTACCACTTGTCACCCATTTTATTTAACCAAAAAAATTGTTGGCATTGGTGCCATTCGACCTCCACATTTTGGTGATAATGATTTAATGATAACTGTTCTATTTTTTTTTCCCTGTCTTTCAGTACTAGAAGCACGGCTTTGTGTAACATCAGATAACACCTAGATTAGTATTTTATTTTTTCGGTATAAGAATTGTGTGGGGAAGTATAGTTTCCCTTTTATCATTAAAGATGTAACTATTTAAACCTGTCAAGAATCATTTGGATTGGATTTTTTTCTTTGATATGTAATAATTATTATTCTACAACCAACAATCCTACTAAATGATTGAATCAAAGAGTATATTCTCAGGTGAAAAATACACCAAGCAAGAAGCATTATCACAATTGCCATTTGGATCTGATGTTGAAAATGCTGTTATGATTGATGAACCAGTTACAAATGTCAAATATTCTCCAATATTCAGAAATAAAGCTCATCTTGATGGTTTAATCCAAAATGTTCATCCTGATTTGAATACTCATTATAAATTATTCAACAATGCTGCTGAAATGTATCATGATCGTCCATGTCTTGGTAAACGTCCTTATAATTATACCACTCATCAACTGGATGATTATTTCCTGCATTGGACTTATGGTGAAGTTTTCACAAAGAAGAATAATCTAGGTGCTGGTTTTATTCGAGCATTATTGGAAAATCCTTTCCTTGATGTACAATTGGAATCCCATAGAAAAGTAGTTAATCATTTACGTGATTGGTCTAATTTTGGAATTAATAAATTACCAAGAGATAATTTAAATTGTGAAATTGAAAAGAATTGTTCATTTATTTTAACTATCTTTGCCGTTAATCGTGCTGAATGGATTTTAACAGATTTAGCATGTAGTTCATATGGTATCACTAATACTGCATTGTATGATACTTTGGGACCTGATGTTTCACAATATATTTTGAATTTAACTGAATCACCAATAGTGGTTTGTACTCATGATAAAATTCAAGTTTTGATAAACTTGAAGAAGAAGTATCCTCAACAAACAAAGAATTTGATTTCTATTGTTTCTATGGATCCAATTGATTTGGTAACCCAGGGAACAATTGAAGATGCATATGAATTGGGTATTACAATTCAAGGTTTGAATCAAATTGAAAAAATTGGTGCCAAGAATCCAATTCATCAATTGGAAACTAATCCAGAAGCTTTATTTACAATTTCATTTACTTCAGGAACTACAGGTAGTAAACCAAAAGGAGTGATGATTTCTCAAGGTGGTGCCGCGGCATATATTACATATTTATTATGTTGTGAACCACAAGCTAAACCTGGAGATAAGGCATTTATATTCTTACCTTTGACTCATTTATATGAAAGACAAACTTGTGGGTTTGCATTTAGTTCTGGTTATTATTTGGGTTTTCCTCAAGTGAATCTTGGTAAGAAAAAGATCAACCCATTTGAAAATTTGCTTGCTGATTTGAGGATTTTTAAACCAACTTATATGTCAATGGTTCCTAGATTATTGACTAGACTAGAAGCTTTAATTAAAAGTAAAATCAAAGAATTGCCTGTACAAGAACAAGAAAAGGTGAACTCCATTATTGAAGCCAAGATCAAAAAACAAAGTAAACAAGATGGATCCACTGGTTTTGATGCAACTTTAGATAATGATCCTACTTATAAATCATTAGCGCAATTTGTTGGTTATGATAATATGAGATGGGTTCAAACTGCAAGCGCACCAATTGCACCAACAACATTAATTTATTTGAAAGCATCATTGAATATTGGTACTAGACAACAATATGGATTAACTGAAAGTGGAGCTGCGATTACCAGTACTGGAGAATATGAGGCATCACCAGGATCATGTGGAGTTATTTTACCAACTGGACAATATCGTCTTTATTCTGTTTCTGAAATGGGATACGATTTGAATAAATTAGAAGGTGAAGTTATGCTTCAAGGTCCACAAATGTTTAAAGGATATTATTATAATTATGAAGAAACCATAAATGCAGTCACTGAAGATGGTTGGTTTCATTCAGGAGATATTGCTAGAGTTGATTCTAAAACTGGTAGAGTGACTATCATAGATCGAGTTAAACATTTTTTCAAATTAGCTCAAGGAGAATATATATCACCTGAAAGAATTGAAAATAGATATTTATCATCAAATCCAGATATTTGTCAACTTTGGGTCCATGGAGATTCAAAAGAACATTATTTAATTGGTATAGTGGGTGTTGAATATGAAAAAGGATTGAAATTTATAAATACTGAATTTGGTTATAATAAAATTGATATGCCACCTGGTGATTTATTGGATATTTTGAATTCTCCAGAAGTTAAATCAAAATTTTTAACCAAAATGAATCAACTGGTTAGAGATAAATTGAATGGATTTGAAATATTACATAATATTTTCATTGAATTTGAACCATTAACTGTACAACGTGAAGTTGTCACACCAACTTTTAAAATTAGAAGACCAATTTGTCGAAAGTTTTTCAAATCACAACTTGATGCCATGTATAATGAAGGTTCGTTGATCAACAATGCCAAGTTGTAATACAACCAAATAAATAAATATAATTATAAATATATATATATACAAAAAATGAAAGTTCTATTAAAATTTACATAAAACAGATGCTAATTCATTACCAAAATCTTTATTCATTAAATGATCATCAACATCATCTTCATTACCATCACTAATAATATCTTCAATAATCTCGTCATCTTCAGTGATGCTAGTAGTATTAGTTGTAGATAAAGGATTCATTAATAATGGATTTAATTGCAATTTATGTAGGGCCATTTTATTCAATTTTTGATTCATTCCTAAATTCATTTTAAATTTCAATTCAATATTATTCCAATTTAATTTTCTAGCTATTCTTAATAAATCACTAATCATATATCCAGTTGAAATTGCTCCTGAATTGATTAATTCATCATACCATAATTTAGCATCTTGATAATTTTTATTATCATAATGATATTTAATAAATGGATAAATTTGATTAAAAGTAAATGGACGTTTAAATCTTCTTGATATTTGTAATATTTTAATTGCAAATTGATAATCTTGATGTTTTAATAAAGCTGTTTGAATAAGTAATTCTATATTTGTTGATGATATTGTATTCAATTTCGGTGTAATGCTGGTATAATATTTATTGGTTATGAATTTGGCAATTTCATAATTTTCAAATGATGATGTGATTGGTAAATGTTCTGGTGTTAATGGTTCATTAGTACGTAATAAATGATTTAAAAATACAGTGATAACAGAATCTTGTTCACGATGTTTTGACGATGTTGTCGATGTTGTCGATGATGATGATGATGATTGTGACGCAGTTATATAACTCTGATACTCTTGATATAATTTAAGAATGATATTTGGTGATTTGGAAACATCAGGAATTGAACTTAATAAAACTTGATAAATATGAGCTAATGATTTATAGTTCAATGTCAATCCTTTCAATCTATCATCAACAGTAGCTATTTGTACAATATCAACAGATGGTATTTCATTAATTCCCCCTGATCCATATGGAATACTTAATATTTTCAATTTATTTAAAATACCCAATCCTTGTTTCCCATATATGGCTCCAACATATCCAATAATAACTTTAGGTGAATTTGGGAATCTGGCTTCCATAAGTGATAAAATTTCATTACTAAATATTTCTTTTTGTTTCTCTGATAAATTATCCAATTTCATATGATTTAAAACAACAACAAATTCATTGAAATTACCCAATTCTCTTAGATTTTTCAATAATAAATGATATACTTCAAATCCTGGTTTTAATCCTTCATTAGCCATATATTTCAAAATATCAATACAATAATATCCTCCTTTAAATTTCATAATTATATTAATTAAACATTTAAGTAAAGTTTCAACATCTTGTTTAATATTTGAATCACCAATAATTCGATTATTTGAAATCATACATTTTTTTTCAAATTTTTCCAACATACAATTCAAATAATAAATTGATTTTAATGGTTGATTTGATTCAATTCCTTTATTGATGAAATTTTCAAAATCTGATATATTTAAAAATTGAATCATTTTAGATTTTTGTAAATTTGTTATTTCAAATTTTGGTAAATTTTCATATTTTATAGGCGGTGTATATCCTGTTTGAACAATATATTGATTAATCAATGATGATGATGTTAATAACTTACGTTTCCATTTATCCATTAAAAACTTGTATTGCGATTGAATATTTATCTGAAACATGTACAGATATAATAATCCATGGTTTTTCTCAGATACACTATTAATTAATTTATCAAACAAATGATGATTTAATAAAATAGGAATGGCATTGATGATATCAGTAGATGCTAATTTAGATAAATAGTGAAGTATTGTATTACTTTTATCATTTATATCAGATTCAAGTATTGATTCAATATTTGATCGTATTATCTGTCGTGTTTTTTGACTTCTTGGTTTTGAAATTAACATCCAAATAGATACTTCAACTTCACGTTTCTTGAAATGATTATATACTGATTTTTGAATCTTTTCTTTTAATAATTTATTTGTAATTATTAAATACATTTGTGATGCTTTTTTAGGATCTGAAAGTAAATTATTTTTGATAATACTTGCAATTTTCAATGAAATCTCATTTATTTCATGCACGGTTCCATATGGTATGGAATTTAAATAGTCGAATTCTTCGTGGGTTAATCCTTGAAGCTGTTCAATACTCATATTTAGTAGTGGATTTGGGGTTATATCTTTTGGTATATCTAAGATATTTATACTTGAAGGGTTAGGAGTAAATGGGTTCTTCCGTATAGATGGTTGAAAAATACTTGATTCTTGATACTGAAAAGTTGGCATGTCCTGTGTTGGTCTTGTTGACAAAGTCGCCAACTGGCGAGTGGAATAACAGCCTTGGCAACGTAGTAGTGATAGTGACAGTATCTGTCTATGAATTCTATATCGTTGTAGCATATCTTTATTAGTCCTTGTTGGTTGTTGGTGTGGAGTTGATCTTTGAAGAAAATTATCACGAAGAAAATTTTTCTTCTCCTTCCAATACAATACCGCAAAAAAAAAAACAACTAACTAACTAACGAACTAACACAACTTCATCAATCCCGATCTCTGAATTCATCAACAACGACAACATCTACAATGATCGAACCAAAGAAAACCATTTATGTCAATAATTTAAATGAAAAAGTGTCTATTAATAAATTGAAAAAAGAATTAAATAAAACATTTACACCATATGGAAAGATTCTACAAATTACAGCTTTTAAAACATTAAAATTAAAAGGACAAGCATTTATAACTTTTGATAATATTGAAAGTGCAATTAATTCACTTGAGTTAAATAATATTGAAATTTTTAATAAACCAATTAAGATAACTTTTGCCAATTCAAATTCAGATATTGTTGAATCAGATGAAATAATACGTGAAAGAAAACAAAATAAATCATTGAAAACTTCAAAGAAAAGAAAATTAGAAGATAATGGAAATAAAGATAATAGTAAATTGAAAACAAAGACAAAGAAGAAATTAGATATGTTAAATGAATGGAAAGAATTACCATCTAATCATATATTATTATTACAAAATATTAATAAATTTGATGAATTAGAAGAATTCTTTAATGATTTTAATGGATTTGAAAATATTCGTGTGGTTAAAGTTAAGAATTTAGCATTTATTGAATTTGAAAATGAAGAAATGGCAACTAATTGTCTTCAACAAGTTAAAGATGATCAATTAATTCAGTTTGGTCCAGAAGATGAAGTTTTACTTTCATTTGCTAAAAAATGAAAATGAAAAATTATAATATTGAAAAGGAAAAATCTATTTACAAGAATTATTCAAAAAAGTAATCACCCATGATATCAAATTCAGAATCAAGGTAAAACCCACCAGTTCCATTTTCTTGAGCCGTTTGCATTTGTCTAGAAAATTGTTGTTGCAAGAATTGTTGTTGTGCTGTAAGTTGTTCTTGTTGTTGCAATAATGGGTTCTTTACAACACCAGTGGTGTTTGTATTGATAATTTCTCCATTATCACGAGTATTCAAATCAACTGGACAACTTTCATTATCACATGAATTATTCAGATCTGGAATAGCACTATCCAAGTTTGGATCATATTTCATGGCCATCATCAGTAACCACATTTGATCAACATAATTACTGGTGCTTTCAGTTTCCATTCTTGGTGATCCAATAGATGAAAATGGTGTGATGATGGACGGTGTTCCTGGATTGTTATTAACATTTGTGGTATGAACAGCAGTGTTGGCATTGGTACATGTAGTAGCTGTTGTGTTTTGATGCAAATTATTGACAACATTAGATGGATTACCATTTATTGTTGGAACAGTGAATTGCTGGTTATCTTTCTTTTCTTTCATAGGCATGTCGAAATTAATAGGAACATCAACACGATCTTCAAATGTAACCAATTTTTCAGCACATTTACCCAACATTCTAATCAGTTGATCCAATTCATTCAATTGTTTAGGAGTGAATTGAAATGCTTTGATTTTCTTAATTCCACCAAGATATTTATCATAATTTTCTGGTTCACTTAAAACATCAAACAAACCTCTATGAGCTTTAGCTATTCTCCAGGAATAATAATACTTGGTACCCAATCTTTCCATGATAATTCTTACCAAATCACCAGTTTTTCGAATATTCTTAAGTAAACTATTCAATTTTTCAAAATGTTCAGCATACACTTTATCTGTTTGCATTTTGGTTTGATGATCGGGATTAATTTCAAACATTCTTGCTAAATAACTGACTCTGATTATACATGATAAATTAATTTGATTGATTTTATGTAATGCCAATTGCATGTTTGGATTAAGAAACAACCCTCTTGAACTGTATCTTCCTAATAATGTATGGCCAATTGCAGGAATCAAGTCTTCTCTAATGATATAATACATTTTCAAAAGATAGAAAAATGACAATTCACTATTAAAATTCTTCTCATAATGTAAATAAACATGATAATAAAGTGAAGTCAAAGCGGTTTTCATCGATAAAAAGATTCTTAATTTAACAACATGATAATACTGAATGATACTTTCTCTGTCAGTTCTAACTTTACAAGCATCTGGATTACCAATAACATTGAAAAAATCATGTAAGATAACTTCAAATTCATGTAAATCTCTAGTAATATCATTGACTTTGGCATAGTTATTAATATCCAAAACATAATCCAACATCTTTCTCATGGAATCCAATTCAGAATTCAAGTATACAAATGTATCAACAATAGCAATTTCCATTTCTCGATCTTCAATACTAGCATTGCTGTCATGAACAAATGGAGGTCTAACATCATAATGTCTAGCATCAATACTAGTTGGATTACCTAATGTATAACATTGAGTTAAATCAGATCTCATCAAAAAATTCCACATTTTTCTACCCAAATGATTGATTCTTTCATCATTACAAACATCCAATTTATCTGGTTCACGATTAAGACCTAAAGAATAAGCCATTTGTACCAACAAGGCAGTACCCACTTGAGAATCACCCCCGTCAATACCATCACTTTCTTCTGGTGCATGATTTCTATAAATTCTCATATACAACATGGCTTGAAACACAGTCATGTTGGATTTTCTAGTGAATTGGAAACATTGAATACATGATTCTGCCACTTCAATAGCGGATAAATTGATTGGATTCAGCATGATGAATTTAGCCACAGAATCTTCTTCTGAATTCATGATATATTCATTGATACAATTTCTATTGTTGAAAAATGATAAATATGTCAATCTTAATAAAATAAAACAAATGGCAATATTTGCTAAATCTAATTTCTTTTCAATTCTAATGCTATCAAATGGAACATCATCATAACTTTTTGGTCCAACAATTCTCAGTAATTCTTTTTTGAATAATTCTTCATCAACAAATGGGAAATATGGGTATACATCGGTGAAAAATCTATCCATTAAAGTCCAAAATACTTTCTTTCTGGGTATTATTTGTTTAATTTTATTAATCAAATGTAATTCTGGATTGATTCGTCCGTCGAATATCGATTTAGCTAAAGTAATTTGTGTGAAATTTAAAACTGGCCCATTTTTATTAGGAGTAGTTGATTTAGTTGATTCATCTTCAACTTCTTCATCAGCCTCACCTTTTTTAACCATTGATTTATAAGGAACAACTTCATCATAACCTTCAAATTCCAATACTCTTTTCTTGAAGATTTTATCCATGTAATTTGAATTATTTTCTTCACTTAAACTTTGAGGAGTATTTAATAAAGCAATATTTTCTGAATTTAGTTGTGGCCATTTATTAGTAATAATACAATAGGAACCTTTACTAAGTAATGCTTTCCAAGCCAAACATAAAGCAGGATCTTTTTTCATCAAAGCAATCCAAGATAATGGACCATAATTAACTCTTCTAATATTACGTTTAATCTGTATTGGTGTATAACCATCATAAAAATTCATAACGTCATCATCATCAACTATTGGATTTGGACAACTTGGACCTGTAGGGGACAATATTTCTTTATAGATATCATTTTTGATTTGTTTTGCTGAGTTGTTATTCCCATTTGTTATTGGAGTTCCATTCGGTGTATTTTGTGTCAGTAGAGTTTCTTCCAATTCAGCTATTTTCTTTCGTAGTCTAAGTATTTCTTCATAAGCGGGATTATCTGATTCTATGATATTATAATTTAACAGTCGATGTCTTTTTCGTAGTGGTTCAATAGGGGATGAAATTGAATTTGCAAAAGAAGTAGCTGTATGAATATTTGGAGTATTTGTCGTAGATGTTGTTTGAATCGTGGCACTATGAGGTGGGACTATAGGTGAAAATGAATAATCAGGATCAGGAGTATTTTGAAGTTGACTAGGATGGTTTTTAAGGTTAGGAACGTGATCGTAAACACATGAATAAGCTAAATTTATTTTCTTAACACATGAGGAACAAGGTTGTTTTCTATCACATTTTGTTTTTCTTTTTCTACAATTAGTACAAGATAAAGATGGTTTGTTTCTTGTTTTGTGAGATGTTGTGGTAGTAGGTGTATCTCCAGCTGGCATGGTTGTGGTTAAACAGTTGGTAGTGATCTGGATGGTAATCAAGATTAGAATATTAGAAGATTAGTAATTAAAGATTTTTATTTTTATTTTTATTTCTCTCGTTGAATTTTTTTTCTTTGTTGGCTGGTTGGCTTTGTGGTGGAGAAAGATTTAACGGGGCACGCAGTGAGTCAGACAAAGGGAGTTGGGGAGTAAAGGGGAAGGGGGATAGATCAATGGACGGGACTACCAATTGTTATCCTGTTTGATGATAGTTGTAACAGATGTAAGGTTTAAATTACTGCTGGTAGTGACTACTCTATAAGAAAAGAAAAGAAAAGAAAAGAAAAGAAAAGAAAGAAAGAAAGACAGTGTTATTCGTTGGTTATTACTAGATCTTTAAACTATTATATATATATTTATATTTATATAAACTTCGTACCGCAGCAGTTAAAGGAGTTAAGACCATCCCACACAAAATTAACCAAAGTAAGTAAGAAAGTAAGACAGAAAGAAAAAGGGTTACAAATGATGGATAGTTGGTTTCATTTAAGAATTGTACATGCCGTTTATGCACATATCACCACCTCTACCATTAGCACCACCACCACCACCACCACAGCAAACGCTACCACGAGCACTACCATTTTGATAGATATATCAACTTATACACCTCGGGTATACCTGACAATTAAATGACATCTATCAAAACCAAAAACCAAAATCCGTATTCATCTTCTTCTTGTTACTCTTCTCTTCCGTTTTCCGTTTTTATTTTCTTTCGTTTAAATATTGTCAATTGTACTTCATGAACACAATCAGATGATTGATTGATTGATTGATTGTTCAAAGTATAATAAATTCATGCTTACTAATAAACAATAAAACGATCCATTATATAGTTATATTATTCTTTTTAAACAAATTCCACTTTAATCCTTTGTTCATGTTCATCAAGAGTGAACTCAACCTAAATAATGAAAACCGTGGTGGGTGGGGTGGAGAGACGGAAAAAGAATAAAAGCAATTTATCTTTTCTATATAATCATACTCGTGAATATTTGTCATTGCTTATACAGTCGTTGCAGTTTTATTTCGCGCTAGTTTGAGCATAATTTTCAGATCAGTGAGTCAAAATTATTCGCACTATTTGCAAAGAAAAGTTCATATTAAGGCGGTCAATATTTTTGATACTAGTGCGCAAAAAATGTTCATATTACGTGACCTCTATTTGTTCATACTGAAAATGTATGATATATGGTATGAACAAAAAAGGGCAGCTAGTTTGAAAGTATTATTTCCGCTGGTGTGAACATTTTGACTCCATTTACTATGAACAATTAATCTCCTTTACTATAAATTAAATTGTCGCACTAGTATTAATAATTTCTTTGAACTTGGTACGAACTGAAAGTAGAAACACTGTACTCATAATCATGATCATAATCAATATCCCCCAAATTAAAGAAAAAAGTTAAATCTTGAAATTGGGGGAAACAAGGAAAAGGGTTAGTTGGAGGGGGGGGGGGGGGGCACAAGAAGGAAAGAATTTGCTAGATATATGAAAAAGAAGAAGAAGAATTATCATCATCATCTGAATTATCATCTAAAATAATTAATTGCTCGTTGTTAAGTTTAGTCATAGTTTACATAACTTTTATTATCACTCATTTCTTCTCAACTGTAATCCGTATTCGGTGGTTATTCTCTTTAATCATTTCTATTGGTTCATGGAATTCTCTTACAATCTATACAAATAGTAAAAACGATATGATGATGCACGTGATTTATTTAGGTTTAAATGTTATTTTCTTTTTTTTTTTTTCTTGTTTCCATAATTTTGCATCAATTTGAATCAAATGAATAACCACCGGATATCCCCAATATTTCCGGTTCCACATTAAGATATAAATAAATAAATAAATACATTAATATTAACTAAATTAAATTACAAACTATATTATATTCTTGACTTTATCCATCATTGTTTAATAAACGATCAATATCGACTAAAATATCAAATGAATTAGGATCAAATATGTCATTATTAAATCCACCATTGTTACCTGGGGTAGCAATATTACCATATGGAGAATTCATCATTGAAAAATTAGGTGTATTAGGTTCATTTTGTTTTTGTTTTTGTTGTTGATCGGTAATCATTTGTAACCAAATCTTATCAATATCTTCATTATTAACAAAATCTAGCCCAAATTCATTAGTGTATTTTCTCGTATCAGAAATACTTGTCATAGAATTTGAATTAGTACTACTGATGTTATTATTATTATTGTTGGTGGTGGTGCTATTCATGGTGGTGGCAGTATTTGGAGTTTGATTTGTTTCAGATGATGTCGTAGACATATCAGATTTGAAATTTTTATAAGTACAAGTAGTACAAAATTCATCACCCATAACTTTAGTTTTACCTAATTTTGATAATGCAATTTCTGACATTAATCCTAATTCTTGAATTTCTTCAATTGAATAATTTGGTAACATTAATTTATTACTCATTTTAGATTCTTTATCATAAAATTCCATAGTTGTTATCTTTTTCAATAAATAATTATTTGCTTTGGTTACTTTCCATGCATAATAATATCTTGTACTTAATTTTGAAACCGCTGCTACCCCAACTTCCGCACATCTTGTTAAACCTGATGAAAATTTACATAATTCTTTATAATATGAATAATATTTTTCATCATTAGAACATTTAAATCCATGATCTTCTTGATTTTTAAAATAATAAATTGAAAAATTAACTCTCAATATTAATGCTAAATTAACCTGGATTAATTTATGAATAATTTGAATCAATTTTGGATTTATAACCATATCACATACAACTTCACTATTACCTAATAATTCAAAATAATGAGGCATGATATCAGTAGCAGCAATTTGAATGATTTTCTTCAAATAAAAATATGACAATTTCAAATCTTTCTTTTCATAATACAAGAAAATATGGAAATAAACAGAAACCAAAAATGATTTTAAAGAAATATATAATTTAACTGGCATATTTCTAGCATAAATATGATTAAATGAACAATTCTTTGGATTCAAACAATCTGATAAAGTACCATATTTTTCATAAATACTGGTTTCAAATTCACTTAATAATTTACATAATTGTGACATTTTAACTTTCCCTGATACATTAAGAATTAATTTCAAAATATCACTTAAAATATCATAAACTGGCAAATAGCCAGGGAAATTCAGAGTGACAAAATTATCCAATTTCTTGTCACGTAAATTTTCAGCTCCTTCTTCAACAAAGGGTAATTTTGTATCAAAATATTGATCACATATAGTTCTTGGATTACCAAAACTATAAGAATGATGAATATCTGTTAAAATCATAAAATGCCAAATCTTTCTTCCCATATTATTTTCTCGTTTATTATTTAAGACATCGGGGAAATTATCTGGATCTCTGTTTAACCCAAGTGAATACGCCATTTGTACAATCATTGCATTTAAAGCATAAGTATCTGCTCCATCTCCGTCATCTCCATCCTCAGGTGCAAACACATGGTATAATTGTAAATAAAATGCAAGTTGCAATACTGACATTGCAGCTTTTCGGAAAATATCAAATTGATTTAAACATAAATGAGCAGTATCAATAAATGAAATACCAATTGGATTTTGAATTAAATACTTCAAATCTTGTGCTTCTTCTGAAGGATCAGTTGAATTGAGTCTCATTTCATTAACACTTTCTTTATTTGAAAATAATGATAAATAACTTAATCTTAAAACAATCAATAATAATCCCAAATATGCCAAATCTAATCGTTTTTCAACTTTAATTTCTTTAATCTTTTCATCTTTATAATTTTTGGATCCAATTATTTTACTTATTGAATCAGTGAAATCATATTCATCAATAAATGGCATGAATGGATAAAGTAAAGAGAAAAATCTATCCAAAGATTTCCAAATAACTTTTTGTTTAGGTAATAACTGATGAATTCTATCAACTAATTGTAATTCAGCATTAACTTGTTCTTCATATAAAGTTAATCCCAAGGGTAATGAAACTTGATTTAATTCTTTCTTGAGTTTTTTCTTCAACACATCATATGGAACAATATCTTTATATCCAAAACTTTCTAAAGTCTTCTTTTTAAAATTAACTTCACTTTCATTTGATTCGGATGTTACTAATGACGTATTTTCTTGATTAATTTCACTAACAGACAGTCCAAATATGAAATTTTGTTGACTCTTTTCCTCTTTCAATTTACAAATATGTAACCATAACAAACTCAACGCTTTATCCTTTTTCATTAAGGAACTCCAGGCAAATGGACCATGATTGATTCTTCGATAATCTTTAATACAAATTGAAGTATATCCTTCATAAAAATTAATTGTTTCATTTTCATCCAAATATGGATTAACTCCAATTAATGTATTGTTCGTGTCTGTGCGAACAGAACTAATACTATTATGAGGAGACTTATTGGAAACTGATGAATCCGGAGTTTTGAAATATGGATCAGAATTATTGGATACTGAACTATATGAAACATTTGTTGGAATCATATTGTTATTATTTCTGTTATCTTGTTCTCTTACATTAATTGGGGGTAATTGAATACCAGGAGATGGGGTCCCTCTAGTATGTGATACATTATAAGTTGTTTGAAATCTATTCATTGAAGGTGGTGGACGATGAGGTATGGTACTAGGAGGAGTTGGACAAGGTGGTGTGAACATAAGTGATTCAGGTTTATTTTGTGGACTTAAACTATTGAATTTAACAGGTGGTGGTAAAATATTATTACCATTATTGGAATTATTTGTTGTTGATGGAGGAGCTACTAATGGAATAGGAGTTGTTTCACCATTAATTCTAGATTCAATACTTTCTAATCTTTGTTTCAACATATCTAATTCACTCATTGTTATATTATTTTGATCATCTCCATTAATATTTGAACCATTACTAATCAGACTTGAAATAGAACTAGTTTTTGATTTCTTTCTTGAATTATTATCATAGTTCACTGATGAATTTGAAGTCACATCCTTATCAAACTTAATTGGAGTTCTAACACTAGACAAATAATAATTTGAACTATTCTCAGGTATTGAAGACATTTTATTCTTATTCTCATTTGTACTACTAGCATTAGTAGTAGTAGCAGTATGAATAATCCCATCATCATAAACACAACTTGTTTGACGTTTAGCTTTAACACAATTTGAACATGGATATTCCCTATTACATTTTATCTTACGTCTTCTACAGTTAGTACAAACTGAACTTATTCTTTTTCTTTTCTTTGTTTGATCTCCTGATTGACCATTATTGGTATTATTTCCTTGTTGGTTAGCACCTCCATGATTTTGCATTGATTCATGGATGAAACTAGCTGGTATTTTGGGTGGTAAAAATGACATCACGATAAGTAGTTATGATGGACGATGATAATGAATGATTGGATAGATAGATGGATGGTTACTTGATTGACTAATGGGTACTTGATGATTGATTGATTGTTTGATGAAAAAAATGACTTTTTCTTTTTTTTTTTTTTTTTTTGTGAATCCCGTGATTTCGGTTCGCCAAAGAAAAAATTTTTTTTTCTTCATTTGTGTTTGCCTCCGCAACGGAAAATTTCCCAAAACGGAAATTTACGGGTGGTACGATTTTTTTTTTTGCTGATCCTAAAAGATATACTGAATACGAAATATAAAATTAATTGCATAGAAATGAATGAGTATATATATATATATATAATATTAAATATTAACGATAAAGAAGTAAAGCAAAACAAAATAAAAACAGAAACAAATTAAGCTAAACTAAAGGATTTAAAGGAAATTCATCAAACAAATCAAAATATACTGCATTTCCACTATTAGAACCAGCCGTACTATTGTTAATATTATTATTATAAGTATTATTATTAGTATTATTATTATCTTCAATGTTGACATTAGGAGTAGCATCTTGTGCTTGATTGGTTGTTGGATTAAACTGTTGGGGTGGCATACGATTTCCAAATACATTGTTCATCGATTGACCAACATTCAAATTCGCATCAAAATATTGACCATGTCCAACACCATGCATATTATTATGATGTAAATTAGATGAATCATTATTCATATTATTGAACGTTGATGTATTCATTGGGCCATTATTTGTACCAGCAGCTCCATTGAAACCATCATTTTGATGATGAGTTTTAGAGTTCAACATTTGCAACCAAATGGAATCAATTTCTGCACCATTATCGAATTTTAAATCTTCAAAATGTGTTGAAAATAAAACTCCATTACCATTTGACTCAACACTATGAGGTGTATGTGATTCTTCACTCATATTTATTGTTGGGCTGAATTTGTTGGTTGGTACGCTATCAAGTGATGATATAGATGTATTTGGTTGATGATATGGCTGTTGCTGCTGCTGATGAGGATGAGGATGAGGATGCTGTTGTTGTTGATGTTGATGTTGCTGTTGATTGTGGTGATATTGTTGTGGATTATGTTGTGAATTATGTGGTTGCTCATAAGATGGCATTCTCTGTGGTGGTGGTGGTGGTGGCTGGGTGTTTTGGGATGGATATTGTTGATTTTTCTTGGTCTTGTTAGGTTTCTTTGGCTTATTTGTTTTAAATAATGTTGAAATATCAACCAGATCACAGGAATTGTTAATGAAAGTTTCAACCTTCTCCATACCTCGATCCGTCAAATCAGCCAACTCGGTAATTTGAGCTTCAGTTGGTTTAACAAATTGTAAATCTTGAGCAACAATTCTTTCATAAAACTCTGGAGATGTGACCAATTCAA